CAATGGTTAAAGCAGGATAGGACGACTCCTCATACAGCCATGGAAACAAAAGATTTACCTTCCTGAATTACACTAACAGTCTTGGCAAAGAAATGGAAGTATTTTCCTGAGAACACAATGGTTAAAGCAGGATAGGACAACTCCTCATACAGCCATGGAAACAAAAGATTTACCTTCCTGAAAAATTCCCGGACTGCCTGATTTCTCCTTATGGTGATGTGGATTGGTTACCCCCAGACTTATTCTTGTGGTGTGAAAAGGGGTTATGGAAACATAAATTTTCATCATTCGTCTTTGAATAAATGCATTCATTATTTGGTATAATCCCCAGATTTTGTACTTTTTTTGGGGGGTCGCATTATAATGTGTACATGTTTTTGGGACACCCCATGGCCTATACCATTTCACGCAACTTTTAACGCTTCCATACTTTTGTATATTCGGTTTGCTTAACGATCACAAAATTATAATAATGATATACACAGATTATTACCAATAACTTATTGACTTAGCACATACCCAGTTTCTCATGTGTTTTGTTTTCTCCATCAGTTTACAGTGAAGATGTCTGCCAAGTCCTTGTTCAAACTGAGCCACACTTGTTTTTGTCTTCAAGTACTCTTCATCAGATACAACAGGCTGTACTGTATAGGATGAAATTATTTCAAAATAACAATGAAACAAAAAAGCCACTTCCATGTGTTTCAACACAGTAATGAAATACTCCCACAGAGTTGTTCCTAGGTTCTACTGATTAAAGGACTTATGTCCCCTTGTACCAAAATGAACAGGACACAGTGGAAGTTAAGGGATATATTAGAAAGTATTACCAAGAATGAAGCATTATATTTAAGTAACAGAAGAGAATTGTGTTAGTACTGTTTTATTTACTTCCATATTAACAAGTTATTGTTGCAATTCTACAACTTTTAAAGTTTCCAAAACATCATAGGTGGGTGCATCAACAGATCATTGATATTACCATCATATGCCATAGTTTGAAGGTTCTCTTGGGTTATGGTATTTTAGTACAGTAATTCTGGATGTGTTTTATTACTTATCAGTAATGTAAATCATGCTACAAATGTTGTTATTCTTTATTTACTTTCTTTTATATGTAGATTTACATTGAGTCACATACATAACACAAAGAAACATAAAAATAGTTATGCACCTGGCTATAATGAATGTGACTGGTGATTACCTGCCATGAAGGCAAGGCTAGCCGATGTTATATGAGAACTTTTTAGCCTTGTTCTGGATCTAGTAGAATTCCATCTTAGTGACCTTATTATTGGTCAAAAGTGAAATTAGCATAGTTATTTTTATCACTCAAAACATATATATCGGAAAGACTCATTCTGTAAAATATAGACCTGCTCATAAAACTTTGCATCTGACAGATTAAAATGGCAAGCATACCACTGAATCCACAATGTACTTTTTTGTAGAGAGATACACTTAAGAAATGTAAAATTTCCATGATTCCCTGCTCTAGGCATAACACTGCTCTTATATTTCCTGTTTTTTTTATGAGTATACAATCACATTTGTTCCAATGATTATCAACCCATTTTTCTTCAAGATTCCTTCATGTAATGGAAAATTTCATGGATTTTCATACTCAGATAACTTTATCCACAGAAACTGATCCCACAGTGTATAAAAGTAACACTGATATACATAAATACATATATGTTCATGAAATTTTCAAATAAAACATTATTTTCCTTTAATTGAACGTAGTATCATCTTTTTTTCTAAACTAATAAATGGAAACTATTTTTTATCGTCTTATATCCACTTTAGAAAGCTCACAAACCCCTGGGGGTCTACAACCAAAGTTGAGAGCTACAGAGTTACACAAAAGCACAAACAAATACTAATATTCATCAGTAATTCTTAATTTGAGTGCAAAATGTTTTGTCATCATGTCAAGATAATAATGATGAAAAGTAAACTTTACAGTTAAACATTAATTATAGACAAAATAATTGCATAATAAATACTTCATGGAAAAGCATTTCATATTATGGGGAAGAATACTATTTACTGGGAGAGTCTTGATTTACCTGCTCCAGTTTGTTATATTAACAGTGAGATGTCCCTTTCTCATATTAATATTAGTGGATTAAAAAAAAAGGAAACAGTTACGATCAAATATGGTTAATGTAATTACATTATACTAAAGTTGACCTCTGAAAAAGAAAAGCCTTACCTGATTCCAGATATTTCTGCAAAGTCTGATGAAGTGTTGGAATAGGAAGATTTGGAAGTCTGTTGTCATTATGAAATGTTCGTTCCTTCAAAGAGACATGAAGATTCTCCTTTTCAGGCTGGCTCTCTTCTTTCTTTGATGACATTGACGTTTTCAGCTGAAACTTGAGATAAAACTGTTTAACTGTTCTTGGTGTTATTCATGAAGCTAGTTTATGCAATGTATGTTTTTTTTTAAAGTTTGATATTTATTCTTTGTTTGAACAATTTATGTCTCAATTTACTACATAAAACTTATACTTAAAATACCACAATACTATGTTATAGCTAATTATTATTTACAGTGTATCGACTATGCATTTTTTTATTATTATCTTCTCAGATCTTTCAATGCACAGTCCAAATTATTTAACATTGTTCTTATGTTTATAACAACTGTGTCTTTTCAACAATATAAATATGTCTCAAAACATACTCAGCATTGTTCTTTTAAAATTTTATGCTTAAAACTGTACATTCATGCTGATCACTCTAATGTATATAAGCAAGAACATATGAAAAATACTAGCATGTAGCCTGTCAAAAATGATGGGGCAATTACTACTACCCCATAGCATACCCTAACCTCACATTTCATAGCTAACTGACATAAATAAATTTTGCAAAATCAAGCTTGACCAACAAAGAGGCAGCAAAGTGCAGTCTAGTCAGTTAAATGTTGGTAAATTTCTTCATGAGCCAATCACAATTAAGATCATTCACAAAATGAATTCATGACGTATTCACAGAATAATTATTAATAAAAATCAGTTAGATTAATAACTTCTAACATATGTCATGTCGCTTAGCAACAAAAGTATAACCTAATATTGTTGTTAGTCTATGTAATGAAAGTATAAAATGAAATGTATAGAGCTCCATTAATTAACGAGGTTTGTTTTTTATTAAAAACATTGGTGATATATCAGAAAATAGCTTAATTCAGAAATGATTTAAGTTTAAAATTGAATTGATATTTTTACTTTCATTATAAATTTTTTATGCACTTGGTTCTAGGCTAGGTGATAATACCAATGCTAACTACACTTATAGAGTTTCATGGCACCCCCCTCACAGTCTCCTTGCATCCCCATCACTAAATTATCATACTGGGCAAACAGTAATCGGACTTTTCTACCTGGATAAATGCATTTTGGCATTTATGACTCCTATTTTGACAAATCAAGCGTGATGTGACACACACACTGGCTTTTATATAGGTTAGATACTTAATTAGCTATACTGATTGCCAGGTTGATCTTTAGTTCTGCTCTAAGTACACAGCTTGTTCCGATCAGAAGTTAATATTAATTAAGCCTGATGATGACTCCAGAAGTGGGTCGAAAGCTAGTTCCAATAATTTCTTTTTGTGGATTATATATATATGGATGTGGTGAAAACCTATTTTTAAGAATATCCATTCTAATTTCAACCACATTACAAAAGCATTACTCTTCATTAACTTTTATACTGTAAAGATATTGTTTTACGCACAGTCTTTAATAAAGTTAATTACAATACATACGTACGTATACTCATACTGATATGGTTGAAGGGCCAAGTAAAATAAATTACCTTCTTGTAAACTGTGGTCATTATTCAATGTCAATAGCAAATCTCCAAATGCTTTAACCTCTTGGTTACTTCTTAATAGTATTATCACTGGAAATGTTTTTAACCCATTATTTAAATGTAAAGCCACATTCTTATCTTGTTAAACACTTGTTTTTAGACCACATTCACTAATATACAGTTACGTTCAACATTTATTACAGGAAAGCGTACTAATTCACATAATTAGGCAGAGTAATATTATATACTCCTGTGTCATCTGAATGACGAATGTGACATCAAAACATAAAATATAGTGTAATATAGGTAAGGATCTGTTCACTTGGGACTTGAGTCTCGATAGCTTGCTCAGATGGTAGAGCAGCAGTCTTTTAAAATACGTGTTTAAGTTCCAATCAAAGCAGGTTTTTTAGCACCTTGGTTATTTATACAAGCATGTAACTTAATTCTGAGCTTTTTGTTTATCTTCATGTATAAATAATTCTAAAAAAAAATATAGTTCAGAATTTCAATACTTACTAGTCTCTTTAATTAGTCATACAAATGCTTTAATTTACTTGAATAACCTTCAACAATCAGGAGTAGTTGTTGCATACTATCTAGTCATATCACTTCTGAAAGCTAAAGATAAGAAAAACATGTTTCAGCAGATATATATTTAGTGTACTGTACTTTACAATTGTATCAGTTATTGCTATGTCATACAGTTTTGATAAAGGTACATAATCAAAATGTTAAGACAATTTTTTCTGAAGGAAGTTATAAAACAAAAGTCATTACTTTCCCTTTTAACTAAGTTCAAACATCTCCTTTTGACAGTGTATTTTGAAAACTTGAAAAAAGACAACTGTGCTCTATTTTTAATTTTGATAATTTGGCATGTTATGATTATTTAAGTAAATGAGAAATTATTTAATAATTTCTCATTTACTTATATAATCAAAAATGCAAAATTATCAAAATTAAAAATAATTTCAACAAACTTATCACTTGCAAAAATAAATGCATCCAACAATAACTTACCAAACACCCTACAGTGCACTATGTTATGCCTTAAAATGAGTTAGAACCTACTTAACTTGTCTAATGTCTACACTAAGCAGTATCACAAAACTCGGGCTGTGCAGATTACCATAACCAACCACTACGAAGATCTTTCAACAATTTTCAGTCCAGGAGGATGAACAATCAAGATATCAGGTAACTTAAATTTAAAAGATAATAACTACTACTCAAAAAAAAAATTGTGCAGTTATAATAGTCTACATAACTTTAAAACACTTAATCACAAAATATTTAGAGTACTAAAAAAAAAGGGGTCTGGGATGGGTTAATGATTAGCATGCCTGGATGGTAAGTCCAAAAGTCTGTAGTTTGCATCCAAAATGTGCTCTGTACTTTGAAACCATAGGTGACTAAAACAGTGACAGTCAAATCTCATTATATGTTCAAACTAAAAGCAGTCCAAGAGTTGGTAGAGGGTGCTATAGCTGCATTCCCTCTAGGCTATAAGTTAAAAATTAGGGACAGCTACATGTGAAAATCTGAAACTAACAAATAAGAAAAAAATTACACCTGATGTAGAGTTTAATCAACATTACTGTGAGTTTACCTCAAAATACAGTTGAGATTATCTCGCATGTACATTTCTGGCTATCGACATACTGTTTTGTTTGGTGTTTGGTACTCATTTAACCCCTTGTTTATGACAGAGGTGTACTTGGGATGCCCACTATTTCTAATTCTAGAGATTATATGGGCATACTATGATAAGGGTTTTCACATTGCACCTAACAATATATGGTTTGTATATATCAAATCAAATATTCCATTTCTGATATTAAAGCTTATAAGAATGAAAATTAACAATCATGTAAATATTGCTTTTATACAATACTTTCACAAATGAAAGCATTTTTTATTCTCTGAATTTCTTATTATTTTAAATTGAATTTTCTGGAGGCTGCTATATCATCTGGATGAAGCCTTACCAATTCATAGGTGTCAAAGTCAAGCATGTTCAGTAACACATTTACTCTTTCATTTGTTAAATTTAGGAGTAGTCAGAGAAGTCTGCTTAGGAGTTGAGTCCTGTTAGCTCAGTAAAACATTTATCTGAGAACATAACTGTGACATAAACGTTCATGATATCCAAATAATGAATGTCCGACTTTCAAGGGCTACTGAAGCCAAAGAAATAGTGGATCATAACATGTAACTGGCTCAATGGTTGGTCGGGTGTTATGTTGTTGTGATCGTATTGCCAGGCTAATATGTTCACTTACAAGTATGTAATGAATATTGGAGGAAGAGCTTTGTTGGGTAATACTAGATAATAGCACTTAAACAACATTGTGCTTATATACAGATAAGGGTGAATTTACTTACTTTTGTTATGCTCATAATGCCTTATTGTTCTATTACAAATATTTATTATTATTCACAAATATATCTGATGCAAGTTAGGCTGTGTGTGTCATATATTATATAATAGCTATGATACAGTCTTATTGGTCATAACATTGTATAATCTTAAATCGTAAAAATAACTAACATTGCAATATTAGTTTATCACAATTCTTTTACCCCATAACAGCATGCATAACAGACTATCCATATCATTGTCTAATCCTACCCATCTGTACAGCTAAACCTATAAAAGCTGGATTACATGCATGAAGCTTGTAAATATAACTAACATTGCAATATTAGTTTACCACAATTCTTTTACCCCATAACAGCATGCGTAACAGACTATCCACACAATTACTAGCTACTTAAAAACCTAGAACATATTATTCCTCACTGATCATTCCAATGCGAACAAGTTTATTTTCCTAAGATGTTCAGCTTCATCATTATGAATAATTTTAAAACATTTTGCGGTTTATCTATTGAAAGAATAAAATTGTAAGGCCAACAAATTATTTTCTTAAATACAACATCAACAAAAAACAATTAATTCTCTCATATTTATTTCATTACTTTGTGGATTAAATCTTAACCTGCAAGATGGCTTAAATCTAAATAAGCAGTAACCTCTTTAAAGAATGTCAAAATATTAGAAAGGCAAGATTATTTACTAGTGACACTGGACGTAATTGTTAAATTAATTTGAGATCAAATTTACATAAATATATTTTATCTTTTGTCTAACATTTCATCAGACAATGCCTCATGATGTGAGTACATCATAGATCCAATCTAATCATACCAAACTGTCAGAAGTTCAATTTAAAATTAGTAAAATGTCTCATTCTCAAGAATAATATTGATATGTGTGTTACTCTTACAAAGTTATTGTTATTTACACTTATAACTTGCAATATTTAGTTTAGTTAGTAGCATAACATAACATTTTGGGACAACATGGAACCTACTGGTACATCTCAGCTGTTCCATCCTCTGAAATAAACTAAATCCATTAGTAAATAAATAAAAAAATTTTTTTAAAGCCAGCCCTTATCATTCGGATACTTACCAAGCTTTTTTTTAAGCTCACTTAAATTTACTACCTCCACAACATCTGAAGCCAACCCATTCCAAAGGCCAACCACCTTGTTAGAAAAATGAAACTGTCTTAGCTGAAGATGACTCCTATTTTGCCAAAATTTATATTTGTGTCCCCTAGTCCTACTATTCTCACTGGTAAGTATGAAAAAAAGATGATGCACCAGCATTATAAATTCCCTTTACAATCTTAAACACCTCAATCAGATCACATATAACTCTTCTTTTTCAAGAGAAAACAATATAAGAGATTTCAATCTCTCCTCATATGACAACTCCTCCATCCCAGGCACCATTCTCTGAACCCTTTCCAACAATTCAATATCATCCTAAGGTAAGGAGCCCAAGACTGAACACAATATTCTATATGTGGCCTAACCAGTGACCTATACAATGAAATTTTAACCTCTTTAGACTTGTATTCAATATTTCTGTAGATACAACCTAAAATTCCTCTTGCTATACCACTAACAACAGCACACTGCTTGGATGGCTTTAGAGACTGATCAAGTATTACACCAAGATCCCTTTCTTTCATGATACTGTTGAGGTTATTCTCATCTAAATTATTCTTACAATTCAAATTATGATAGCCTACATGCACTATCTTGCATTTATTATAATTAAAACCCATTTCCCATTTATTTGCCCAACTCACTAAATGATCTAAATCATTTTGTAAATCAGCAGCATCTTCATGGCTAGCAACACCCAAGACCTTAATATCTTCTTCAAATGTAAGTAATTTATTGACCATTCTTTCATCTATATCATTGATGTAAATCAAAAAGAGCAAAGGTCCTAAGACTGAGCCTTGAGGTACCCCACTTGTGACATTAATCCAGTTTGACTGAACTCCATTTCTAACAACCTTCTGCTCTCTTCCATCCAACCATGCTTCTATTCAATTTGCTAACTTATCCCCCACGTCTATAGAGATAATTTTTTTTAGAAGCCTTTTATGTGGCACCTTGTCAAATGCTTTCTGAAAATCCAGATACACCAAATCTACACTCTTACCCATGACTACATAAGCAGTAACCTTTTCAGAGAATGTCAAAAGATTTGTAAAGCAGATTTTCCCTTAGACTGAAACCATGTTGACTATCCAATAAAATTCTAAACTTTGTTAAATGACTTTGTAAAGCATCTTTTATCAGACTTTCCAAAATTTTTCTCACAACTGATGTAAGACTTGAAAAGGGGATTTACATTAGCTAACTTCCAATCCTTTGGTATCTGCCACTATTCAAGGACAGATAAAAAACAGTAGCAAGTCTTTAACCTCCTTCGAAACCAACTGGGGAAATATCATCTGGCCCAAGAGCCGCATTGTTCTTTAAACTTCTCAATTTTTCTTAACCATCTCAGAATTAATGCAGTCATCTTGTTCGATCTTGTTTCCATCTATCAACTGTTCAAGATGTGGAATACTGCTTAAATCTTTGCTAGTAAAAACCAAAGAAAAAAGCAAAAGTTAATAACCTAGCCATCTCATAATCATCAGATACGAGCCTTCCTTTATCATCCCTCAGGGCTCAAGGGTCCTACCCCTATCCAAACATTTTGTTTACATTTAATGTATTTAAAGAAATCCTTACTGTTAATTTTTACATTTTCAGCCAACCTTTTCTCATACATTCTTTTTGATGTCCTAATTTCCAGTTTTACCAACTTTCTTGATCTTCTATAATCTTCTTAAATTTATTATGCTTTTCTTTAACTTATCTCATATACTTTTTGTGAGCCAACCTGGTTTTTTACTTTCAACTACCCTTTTCTTTCTATAAGGAATATTTTTACCTCAAATATTTAAATGAGATACTTGTGATTTCAGTTTTACCTTACCACAAAGAATAGCAAATTAGACTGATTAAAATTCTAACTTAATTACAGATAGATTATCATTATCAATCAATTGTAGGTGGTTTCCACTCAGCCTGGGCCTCGTACCAAACATTTTGTGGAACAATCTAAAAATCACACATCTCACCTAACTCGTAGTGTTATTAACATTAATAGTAATGTGTTAAATCTAACTATTAAATGCTTTTTTTTTTAATGGGGCTTAACCTAGATGTTACTTAACTCTTCCACAAAACACAACTTCATAGGTAACCATGAACACGTAACTAACAGTAACAGTGACGCGGTCAGAAAGAAAACAGAATGGGTGGACAACATATCAGAATATTTTTTTTATCCTTTTAAAGACTTTAGATATATTTATGTGAGTGTATGT